GTTATATGTGGCTGCTGATAACTTGGCTGCTCATTCACTGGCAGGATTCTTCGAGAGCTTTGCAGTGGACAGGTCCTGCAGGTTCTGCATGGCGACGAGGAGCCAGATCCAAGACAAGGAAGTAACTTCAGGCAACTTTGAACTCCGAAATAAAGACACTCACAACCGGCAAGTGCAGGAGGTAAAGCAGGATCCCACTTTGGCTAGAAAGTATGGTGTGAAACGAGGATGTGTATTGACAGACAGTCTGAAGCACTTTCATGTTGTGATGATCTTTTTGAAGGCATTGTTCCTGTAGAGTTATCGCTCTATCTTTCAGACCAGATTTCTAAGAAATATTTCACCTTAGAAACACTGAACCTTGCAATCAAATCCTTTGCATATGCTTTTAATGATAAAACTGACCAGCCACAGCCTATTGCACATGGCTTCTCTACCAAAGGGACCATAGGTGGAAATGGCCATGAGAACTGGGCTCTAATCAGACTGCTCCCACTTCTCATTGGTCATAAAGTACCTGAAGGGGACAATGCATTGAACCTTCTGATGCTCCTTAAAGACATTGTTGAGTTGGCTGTAGCAACATGGCACACTGAAGAGTCAATACACTTCCTTGATTGCAAAGTGTCAGAACACAGAGAACTGTTGCAAACTACATTCCCTGATTTGAGATTACGTCCAAAACACCACTTCATTGAGCATTATCCTCAGCTGATTAAGGCATTCGGTCCGCTTTCAGATGTCTGGACAATGCGTTTCGAGGGAAAGCACAAATTCTTTAAACGGGTCATTAGAAATGCACACAACTTAAGAAATGTTGCTCTTACACTGGCTGTAAAGCATCAAAAGATCATGGCTTACTATTTGGACACAAATTCATTTTTCAAGCCCACAGTTGAAATGGACAAGGTCACTACGGTACCAATCACATCTTACTCTGAGAATGTCCAACACGTTTTCTGCCAGAGAATTCCTCAGCTTGCAACAGTTCTTGTTGCATCATCAGTTTTTGTCGATGGAATTAGATATTGTGCCGATATGATACTCTCTGTTGGTTCATGCTCAGGTCTCCCTGAATTTAAGCAAATCAAACAGATTGTGGCAATCAACACAGAGATCTGGTTTGTCTGCAAAACGATGACTGCATGGTACCATGAGCATTTCAGATCTTTCGAACTCTGTGACTGCTAAAAGTTACAAGTGGGATTGCTGCAATCAAGCTGAGCAACATGGCACCCACTGGAGTCTAAATATAGGCCTAAATGGCCATATTTTGCAGCTTTCTTTCATGGCAACCAACTGTTCTTGAGGACATGCATATTACTAATGAGCTAATCATTATGTTTATTCCAAAGATGACGGCATACCAGAAAATGACTTTGAGGGTCATTCTCACGGAGGAGGATATAAGAAAGGTCATCCTGAATACGAGGCCTGCTACAGTGGAGGATTTGATGAGCCAGATTAAAGAATCACTGGGACTACATTACAACTGCTGTCTCCAATTAAAATATCCTGAATTCAATTATCAACTATGCAATCTGACAGATATGGAAGAACTTCCAGAAAAAACAACAATAAAAGTCATCCCTTTACTTGAGCTGGTACCTCTCTCAACATCTGATGAAATCTTGAGTGACACAACAAGTACAGCAGACACAGATATCCTCTCAACATAATCTCAGGAGAGACGGAAACAGTGGCCAGAATTATTTGATATCCCACAGTTTTCTGTTGACGTAGTAGAGTATAGACTTAGGCAAGCAGATCTGCTGTGTCTTTGTGATGGCACATTCCTAAAAGTAACAAAAGAGCTCAAACATGAGATCCTTGAAAAATTGGCAGAGAGCATGTATAGCTACACAGCATACCCAAATAATGCTCAGTTCGAAAGTGTTGCACTGATAAGCAAGCACCCAAGTCTCCAGGAACGAGGCTCAACCAGTCGCTGTAGTGGTTGGAAAAATAGTCTAAAATATAAAATGGCCAATTACAGAACAAAACGCAGAAGATCAGGATGCCTTGATGTTGCGGTGAATGCGGGTAAACGAGGACGCCATTCAGCAGAAGGAGCACCAGCTAACAGGAAAATTAAGAAGGCAAAGAAGGGAGAACTCAATTTCTTACCCAATTTTCCAGATGGATTTGATCAGCCAGCCCTCGAGGGTGCCCACAAAGACTTGGTAGATGAAATGCAGAAGAGAACACCAAATGGAAGTCTTGTGAAACAGAAGATGGACCTGACGTTTGCATTGAGAAGAAAAGAGGTGGTGGAGTCTGAACCTGCCATAAGCGAGATGATGGAACGCTGGCCTGCCCTTTTCACAGAAGATCAGGTAAGTTCAAGATGGATGTAATGCTAATGTTTTTTGCTTATGTAAGTGGGATCAATTGATTGCTCACCTCACACTGGCACCCCCAGCCACAGTATTATTTAGTCTTGAAATATAATACTGGAGCATTATTTGTATTTTTCAGGTGTGCATGGAGTTCAATAGGATTGTGGGAAAGAACCTCAAACTGGAATTCTTTGAAAGCATGGATCGGCACGGTCCTCGAGATATTTCGATCGAAGAGAGGGAATGTTGGGCAGCTGTTGACACAACTCTCACAACACACAATTTAACATGTAACCTCTCCTGGAAATGCACATATTCTGTGCATGTCCTGGAGAGGTTACATGTTAAATTATATCGTGCAAAATGACAGGCTACAACTCTCTTCCAGACGTTTAAAAACACTTTCCCCGACCATTAAACATTATTTCTAGCTTGTAGTGCGGTGATGAGCCCTGGTAGTATCAGACTATTTAAAGGGTTACCAGGAGCATGAGAATATCCTGGGGGGGGGGTGGTGCCGTGAATGCCGATGTGCGGACGGTAAAGCACCGCAAAATCCACCCCCTTTAGGGTTACCAGGGGCATGAGGTTCTGTGGGGTGTGATCATCTGGGTTTAGTCCGTGGGGGAGTGCTTAAGTCCGGGATGGGGGGGGACCCTTTGGCGGCCGGGGGGGCGGGGGGGCCTGCTCCTCTTCCTCCTCTCGCCTCCCCCCTCTCATTTCACAATGCCCCTCCCCTTTACATCTATAACATGTTATGTGAGGACACTCCCTAAAGATATGCCCCGGCCTGAGGCAGTTCCTGCACACTTGTCTTTGCCCATCATGCTTGAAAAATGAAGTACTCTGCAACCCCCGCCACACTCAATACAGTCGAGTACGGGAGGGAGCGCGCCTCTCCTCTGAACACCACCCTTAGGTGGCGGGTCCCATCTGCAATATTCGTCCCCGGTAATCTCCTTCTTATTATCCTTGAAACCGGCTCTACTCCCCACTCCCGCAGTCTCCCCAATATAACCTCGTCCCCAATGTACACCGGCAGGTTCATGAAGGACACTGTGACCTCATTGTCAAGGAGCCTTCGTGCACTCACTAAGACACCCTTCACCCTCAATCCCTCCAGCAGCCTCTCTCTCCCGCCCCCGAGTCTTTAATGTCACCTCGTATTCAGTGGCGGAGGTGGGGGGTGTCCTGGCCACCCTATTGGCCACCCCAAACACCCTCAACCACACCAACATCACAGCTGTCCGTAGCCGCTGTCACTAGTTTTCCCCGTGCGGTGCGGAACCATTCCTGTAATGTACCAGAGCACTGCCGGAACACTTTCGCTGC